ATTGTTATTATTATGATTATTATTATTATTAGTAGTAGTAGTAGTAGTAGTACTAGTACTAGTACTAGTACTAGTACTAGTACTAGTACTAGTACTAGTACTAGTACTAGTACTAGTGATAGTACTACTACTACTACTACTACTACTACTACTACAAGAAGAAGAACCGCAGCAGCTTGACGAGGAATAGCAGTAGCAGGTGCAGGTAAGAGTACTCGTCGTCGCAGCATCCAAGACCACAGCTGCCAGGCGAAGCAATTCGACATGCTGGCAGCCGAAAACCAGAAGCTGGGTTCTTGTTCAGGAACTTAGTTTAGCGTCACATGTTAAGGAACAACAGCAGTAAGTAACATGGCTTCTTGTCTATGGTTATGTACATAGAATGCCTTAAGGCCCTATAAGATATGTGCAAAATGGCATGAAATCGCTGGGGAGGCCTCATGGAACCTAATTCCCCCACACAAGCCCCAGGAAGGTTCAGCAAGAGTTGTCCGAGATCCAGGGCATGATGGACGAGGGCTTTGCCAAAACGCAGGAGCATCTTCCGATTTCGGGGTTTAGGGCTGCTGGGTTTAGGGCTATGGGGCTGTGGGTTTGGGGGTATTGCTGTAGGGTTTCGGATATTGGTTTCGCGGTTCAGGGCTGGCAAAATGCAGGAGCAGCTCTTCGCAATGGATGCGGCTGCTGCGAACCGTACCGGCGAGCAGACCAAGCAGATCTTCGAGAAGATCGATGCACCTGACTACGAAGTGCTACGTTACAGTTACACAGAGTAAGAAGCGCATCGAAGCGAAGGTCCAACATCCACCGTTATTAAGACCTCCATCCGCGAAGCAAAGCCTCAAAGAGCTTTGATTAAGGCCTCTATCTGCGAAGCCACATATCCGAAGCTTCAAAGAGCTCTGAGGCATCCCAGAAGGAGCAGAATGCCCGGCTGGCTTACATGATGCAAGCCGCGCAGTGCGACAACAAGCTTCAGACGAAGGAGTTGAAGGTGGGCACATAGTAGGGTTTAGGGTTCAGGGTTTAGGGTTCTAAGGCTCATACAGCTTTTATAGGATTTAGGAGGTTGCATTGGTTTGGGGCTTTAAGATCTTAAGAGCTGGAGATATAGAGCTGTTAAGATCCTGGGCATACGAAAGGTTTAGGGGGTTTAGGCATTTGGGGTTTGGGGTCTACGGTTTAGAGTTTAGGGTTTAGGGTTTAGGCATTTGTGGTTCCCCACAAGCTCAATCGTATTGGTCTCCTAGCCAGTCATAGCCTAGAGCCAGTGCCGTGTGCACGAACCCCCAAACCAAGGACTCGGGGTTAGACAGTAGGAGAAGTCAGTGCTTCGCAGCAGCAGTGTTACGTCCTGATCCCTACAACCCAAAGGCCCTAATATAGGGGCCTAAATAATTACCAACACAATCTTGGGGGGGTCCTTATTATAATTATAGTAGATTTGGCCCCAAAGCCCTATTCTAATTCATATTAGGGCCCCTACATTAACCCCAAATACTGTGTCCATGAAACCCGTGAATCCTACGGTTGATGTCATAAATCCTGGATTACCCATAATACGGAATATGCCATAGTTCCCATAGTTTAGGGTCCTTAAGGTGATGCAGGATTTATATCATCAACAGTCGGGCCAGTAGGGCCTAGGGACATGGGCCTGCTGTGGAGGACTTTGTTTCCAACGGCCTCGACAACTTGCAGACCGCTGTGCTCAGTGGAACAGGAGGGTTCAGGCTTTAGGGTTCAGAGTTTAGGGTTGAGGGTTCGGAGTTTAGGGTTGAGGGTTTAGGGTTTAGGGGTTAGGGTTTCGGGAGCTTCATGGAATAAGACCCCTAGAACCCGAACTCGTCAGCCCTATCATGGAGGCCTCCCCTACTGTTAGGAGCCCTGCCACTTTCCGTAAGCCCCAGGACAGCAAATCGATGCAGCCGTCTCGAAGATGCAGGCCCGGTTCCGCCACGTCCTGATTAGGAATTGGGGGTTTGAAGTTTGGGTCTATGTCTGGTTCTTGGGTTTGGGCGTATAGTTCACGGATTGGGGTTTCAGGGTAGCGTGTTTGGAGGGATTTCGCGGAAGAGGGTTTAAGGCTTGAGGCTTTGGTGTTTGGGGGCGTTTGCATCACCCAGAATCACCCGTAGCAAAATCAGCTTCATCGTCATGACGGTTTGAAGACTAGCAAGGCTGATTATGCGAGCACGTGACATGATGGAGGTGGTCGTACTCATGACTTCAAGACACAATTAAAGAGCCATTATAGATCCCTCTAAAGGTAAGCCCGTTTTGAGCCCTTAAAAAGGCCCTTAAACAGGAAGCCCTTATAGAGCCCTCAAACAGGATTATAGAGCCCTTATAAATAAAGGAAGCCCTTATGGAACCGTTATAAAGGAAGCCCTTATGGATCCGTTATAGAGATCCCTCTAAGGGTTCCTTTATTTTAAGGGTTCCCTTCAGCACTCCTTTGAGACCTAACTAAACCCTAAACCCCAAACCTATAAACCCTAAACCCCTTAGCCCCTAAACCCTAAACCCCAAATCCCCGAAACCCCTACACCCCGAAAAGAAACCCTAAACGCCAAAACCCAAACCTATGGGGGGCTCCTGTAAAGGAATCCCCTGAGGATGCCATGGCGAAGAGTCAGCGCGCGATCCAGACACAGATGGCCCAAGGATTCAGTGACTTTCAGGTGTATTATTTAGGGTTTGGGGTTTAGGGGTTTAGGATTCAGGGGTTTCGGGTTGCGAGGTTTAGGGGTTAGGGGGGTTATGGTTTGGGGGTTTATGGTTTGGGGTTTAGGGTTTTGCAGTAGAGTAGGTAACCTTTCACCTCTTTGGTGTAGGAGAATAGATGCCTTTCGGGCTTCGGGCTTAGGGTGTAGTAATACATAACCTTTTTGAATTTTTGGGTAATTAGAGGCCTGTATGTTCCCCTGTGGTACTGGACAACTAAGGTGATGTAACACAAACGGTTACGGAAGGTTTCGACCAAATGCAGAAGAAGCTGGACGCAAACAGGAAACTAGGTGGCACCTTGGGAGACTTTAAGATTTCCCTCCTGGTTCTTATAGAGGTACCTATTCGTAAATACTTTTCAGGGCCCCAACACTACAACCCAGGAAAGCTGTCCAGCAGCAGCTGACGCAGCGCTTCGACAAAGTCGACCAGCATCTCGTGAAAGTACAAGGACTGCAAGAGACATCTTGATGGAGTCTAAACGGTTTAGGGTTCAGGGTGTAGGGTAGAGTGCAGGGTTTACCTGTAACCGAAAAGACCTACCTTTTTAAGTAACAATATATAGAAACCATAATAAGGAAGCCTAAAACGGTAGGTCTTTTCGGTTACAGGTAGGGTGTAATGCTTCGCTGCACTTGAAGCAGGCATTGACATCCAAGCTACATTGCTCCTGGAAGGACAACTCGATCTGGCACTGAAGAACATCGATGTCGTCGACAATAGGAGCGCTTATATGTGGTGCTTCAGCCGTTCCTAAACACTGGTCAGTTTTTGCTGGAGGTTAGATCCGAAATCCTACATATACGAAATTATAGGTATCAAATGACCCGGGAAGGATCAAGGATCTGGCAAAGCAGAGCAGCAGGCAGTTCGAAGAGCTCCGTCATGGGCAGCAACGGCAAATGACCGCCCTCCTGGCGGTCGTCCAGAAGCTCGAGGTCTTGGAAGAGAAGATCGATGACATACCCGTGGCTGTCAGAGAATCACGCTTTCAGGAGAGGGATGGCATGGATAGGAAGCCTTCGTTTCCGCCAGCTCAACATAAGACTCTGTTGTGGGCCCTGCTTTGCTGCATCTGACTTCCATAGCCGAACAAGCTTCAACACTTCGCATCATCAACCCTCGAAAGCCGAAGATCGGGAGTGAAGCCCCTACCCTAAGGGTCCAAGTACCTAGTAATCATATACTCTCCCAAATGTTAACTGGATAACAACTATACGCAACCAGAGTGCCTCATTATTGGGTCCTTTGGACCCTAAACCCTAAACCCTTAGGGCTAGGCCCTGAACTCGGCCAGGACTTCATCTATGAGTTCGAGAAGCTGTCGCTGGCGCTCATGGACATCTTCAAGGAGGTCGAGGCCGGCATGGCGGCCATGAGCTCAGAAGCACAGACCCAGAGTAGCCCAATACCCCTTAGTTAAGGAATCTACCTTAAAAGGGTTCCTTAAAGGGATCTATAAGAGTTCCTATAATAAGGGAATTAAGGAATATATACCTTAAATCATAATGTTCAGGCCTCTAGAACTTAAGGTATCTTCCTTAATTAAGGGGTATTGGGCTCTCTGGGAACCTCCGCTTTAGGCTAGAGCTTAGAGGTTGACGGGTTTAGGGTTTCGGGTAAAGGGGGGTTTAGGGTTCAGGGATAATTGCTCTTGTAGTGTAGTCTCCACAGTTTTTGGCACGAAGTAGCCCGAAATCCTTTCCTAAATGTTCAAGCTCCTAGTTTATTCTCTGGTTTTCGAGACGTTTCCAACTCCGGTCTATTTTATCCTAAATGCGCAGCAACACCGAGTAGATTATACTTTGGGGGACGTGGGACGTGGGGTTTGGGGTTTAGGATTTTAGGTTGCAGTTAGGGTTTTAAGTCTATACGTAGGATTTTAGGCTGGGGATAGCTGTAGTAGGACGAATCGGGTCTTTCAATGTTTGTCTGCGCACTGCCACAGGATTTCTCCGCCAAGAGGCGTGCGGATCTGGAGCACATGAAGACTACCCAGCTCTCCTACCAGTCTTGCGGTAGCCAAATCGAAGATGTGCAGCTCGGTAGAAACCTGGGGGTTTCGACGAGCTCCTTAATTAGGGTCTAGGGTTTAGTCGTGCTCTCTTGACTCTGGTAATACAGAAACCAAGGATCCAGGCAACAAAAGCCGTGAAGGAGTCCTCGGCTCAAGCCGTGGCGCTGCTTCAGAAATCGTTCAAAGAGGCCGTTCTGCGGTTCGCAGAAGCTAGGTCCCACAGTAGCACTGTAGCCTTGTGCCGTTTGTGGATTTGGGGTCTCCTTATCAGACTGAACACTCGGAAACGGGGACAGTTAATTCTGTAACCCTAAACCCTAAACTATGGTTATTCAACCACAAAGACCTGCCCGAACGGGCTCTCTTGGACGTAGCCCCCAGGAAAAAGGTCCTCAAAAAAAAACCTGGTTATTGGGGACCTAGGAAATCACGATCCTGGCCGTGGACAGCGGCTTCTCGAAGATGCACTTCGATGCATTGGCAGAGCAGATCGCCGAGGAAGTTGCGAACAAACGACAAGGGTTTAGGGCTTAGGGCTAAAGTTTTCAAGCTCTTAACCCCAAACAATCGAAAGAAGGCCCTCAACGAAAAGATATATATATATATATGTATATATATATATGTATGTGTGTGTACCAGTGTGGGTATGTATACGTACATATATATATATATATGTATGTGCATATGTGTGTGTTCTATTTGTTTCTACATACACACAGACACACACACACACACAAAGAGGTTGTCTGTCTGTCTGTCTGTCTGTCCGTCTGTCTGTCTGTCTGTCCGTCTGTCCGTCTGTCCGTCTGTCCGTCTGTCCGTCTGTCCGTCTGTCCGTCCGTCCGTCGTCTGTCTCTCTGTCTCTCTGTCTCTCTGTCTCTCTGCCTCTTCGTCTCTTTGTCGCTTTGTCTCTCTGTCTCTCTGTCTCTCTGCCTCTCTGTCTCTCTGTCTCTCTGCCTCTCTGCCTCTCTGTCTCTCTGTCTTTGTTTCTATGTCACTCTCTACACACATTTTTGTACAGTATAACATGATTGTCCATGCAATGTAATGCAGTGCAACGCAATGTAAAGAACTCCGATGAAATTGAATGAACTGGACTGGAACGGCACGTAGTGTACTGTAATATAGCATAGCATCATACAGTGGAACATAGCATCAGGATCTTATTCGGGAATGTCTCTACTTACTACACGCACATGCGCAGACACGCGCAAGCATGCGCGTCAGTGGCGGGAGGGAGGGTCGGCTCAGTGCCGAGTCTGGAAAAAGAGAAGGTCAGGTGAAAGGGCACCTGTACGTGCAAGAACAGCAGAAGCCGCACCAGAAGCTCGCCGGAAGGGGTCCGCGAAGAAGCGGCTCCGGAAGAGAGTGCAAAGACCTCTGGCACGTGCTGGAACAAGCACTTCGAAAAAGAATGAAACCAGTCAAGCAAAAGAACCCAGCCTCGGGATCCAAAACGCTTTGCAGTAGCCTTGCCTTTGCCTTCTGCCTGCTGATCTTCACACCTTGAGCTTCAGCCCTCTGCGAGCGAAGGAGCGCACATTGGCACGAAAAGTTGAGTGCCCCCAACTCGCCGAGGTGCATCGTGGTACAAGCTTGCTTGATTCGTTTAGGGGTTCTAGTCGTTTGCCACATAGTCCCAGAATCCTTCTCCGATTGGGGTCCTTGGGCTCGGGAATGCCAGTTCCTGAATAGTCGAGGAGGCATGCCTCTTGTAGCCAGATCAGTGGACTTTGCGACACTTTGCCAGACTCTGCGGAACGGTGCTGCAGCGCGTGCCAGCAGCAACACGTCCAAGTCCGGACCTTGGGACAGGGAGCCTCGAGTAGCTGAAGGTTCTGTAAAGCTTTGTTGCAGTGCACTTCGGTACCACAACAGGCCACAAGCCTTTGAAGCCCTGAAGATCATGGCGGCCGTCTTAGGTACGTGACACGAGCTGGCTTCCTCACGCAGATACTCGCATGGGCCGAGAAGCCCGGCGATCACTATGCCAGGCTCCGTTGCTGGGTTTGGGGCAGAGCTTGGCTTCTTAGGAAAGGTTCAAGCGACGCCAACAATCGACCAGCTAGCAGATGCTTCCAAGCTAGGAGGAAAGGCTGTTCGCAGCGCGGAAGTACACTTGTTTCAAGCTACACGACGGTCTCTAATCTTCTCGAGGTCCGCAACTAGAACATGAGCCATTGCCAAGGAGGCTTGCAAGAGGTATGCGATGCGAATTCTGCATCTCAGGAACACAGCTCTGCCATGAGCACCATCTTGTAGTGGGTCCCTTGTTTGTGTTCAAAGTCATCGAACCGGTCCCACTTGAGCCGGAAAGAAGATGATACAGAGACCGTCGGCTGGGCTTCCGCCAGGACCTGGGGCCTGTGGCTGATCTTGACCCTCTTTGCCCACGAAGCCAGTGAAGAGAAGCTGAAAAGCCAGGCCAGGGGCGACGATCTGCTGCTTTCGATCTCCCTCGCATGCCGTGCTTGTGACGAGAAGTGTATGCGATCTGAGAGTTTCATTTGAAGTGCTTGCATGCCTCTTGTGCCTCAAGTCCCGAGGCTGATACGCTTGATCCAGACGCCGTCCTGGTCATGGAAGAGGTATCCTTGGAAGAGGCAGGGATGGTGTAGGCATGTGCATCAGAAAGACGCTGAGATCGGACAGTCGTAGGAGTTTAGCCGTGTGTGCTGCTGAAATTTGCTGAAGCTGCAGCGCTCAGCCTTTCAGTCAGACTTCCCTCTATTTGGCCTTCGGAAGATGACCGGTTCTAATTGCTTGCAGTATTCTGCCGTAGGCTTGGAGGTGAACCCAAGTGCTCTGAGTGTGATCGGTGTCTGCTTGGTCACGTTGCCAGGCCCAGGTTGTTCGGCGGAACCGGCTTTTGGATGCTCAGGAGGCATTGATCGTCGGGTGCAGTATTTTGGCTTTGGGGTACAGTGCGACGATCTGCTCCCTGCAGAGGCTGCAGCTGGCATCACTACCTCAACGAGACAGGATAGCAGCAGGATGCTCGAAGGGTCGGAGTGCAGTCCGGGACGTGGAATGGTGCAGTTTCCGCAGTCCCCCACCTGGCTTCCTGGGCCAAGGCAAGCAGCCCGAGTGTAAGACGCGTGTCCACTGGCTCCTTGGCGGTGGAATGGCATCGCAGCCTTGGACAACGAGTTGGGAGGGTTGGCTTCTCCTGGGCTGGACGGGACTGGAGACGGAGTGTGAGTGTGTGTGTGTGTGTGTTTTTCTGCGCTGGGATGTGAGAGATGCTGTGAGCGCAATCCAAGGCTCCGTGGCTCCACAGAGCTAATTCGAGGCCTCGCTGCCTCAGCTGCCGGCCTAGCGAAGCTTGCAGATGGCAGGGATTTTGGAGTTCTCTTGTGGTGAGATCCTGGTTCAGTTTTGGTTTCTCCCCGTGGGAAGCGTGCATCTGCTGAGTCCTAGCCTGTAAACTACAACAAAGACAGCTCCCCTTTCAGGAGAGCTGCGGTCTCGAGATGCAATAACGAAACATTGTCAACCAATGAGCCCACGTAGAGCGGCGACGGGACATCAGCGCCTCGAACTCGCAGCTCAAAAAGCTTTCGAAGAAGCGGGAGCCTTCACTCTCGTGCCAAGGCCGGCAAGTGCATCTCGCATTCCCTCGCGAGTTTGAAGCTTCAAGCTTTGTCTTTGCTTTCCTTTTGGGAATGGCTTCCCGGTGTTGTGTTCACTGGTCGCTGAGAGGGGGCTCCGGCTTCTTGAGGCAAAGGGTCTGTGGAGATGGGTAGATTATGGCAGATGCCCGCATGCGGGGGCCATGTTTGATAAGCCGACCGAAAACCTTCTCGCGCAGCTTGAGCCGCAAGCTCCTTGGCCAGGTATCAATGGAAGGACTCCCAGCAGCTCGGCTGCGTGCGGCAGCCCAGCAGGGCGCTGTGCAAAGCGACAAAGCTGCAAGGCATCGCAAGGCAACACACTCGCGATCGCCTGCTCTTCAATGTTGCTCCGCATCGGCTGTGCTTTTTGCAATAGCTCCTTTTGGTCGCTCTCAGGTGGCCTCCGCTTGGTGCTTGATCGAGCTGTCAGCCCGACACGGCTTCAAGGGTGGTTGAAGGGGTCGTGAAGAGTTGAGTGCCCGGGACACTTCTTCCACTGGCCACTGTCCGCGATCATTCAGAGACCGAGTCCGATTTCGTTTCCTCTCTGAGCACTCAGCCAGCTTCTAAGCAAAGTCTTTTGCCGGAGGGGGTTGCGTGGTTGTGAATGAAAGCTGTGCACACGCAGCTGTGAATTGGAAGTACGCGACTTGATGCCAGGCCCGCATTTGTCCAGACTGCTGTGCACTCGATCGACAGTCGGGTGGTCTCAAAGTGTCTCACGCTGCCGGAGAAGCACCAAACTTAGCTGATTGCCGCATCCAGTTTCAGACAGCAACCACAGGTGCGGTGCCTTTCCTCTTGCATGTCGTGAACAGCGCTCATGTCCCGCACGCTCCTTTCATTGGTCTTCCTTGCATCGGGTTCAGCTGGCTTCGAGGCTGGGCATCGGCATCCTGATGGCTAAGTCTGCTTGACATACTTTCAATAACAAGGCCACACGGGCGTAAGTGGCGCTTTCTCCAAACTTCCTCCAATGGCCCAACCACTCTACAGCCCAACAATCATGCAGGTTGCATGAGCCGTTCCATTCTCTGAGCCTCTGACAGTGAAGCACCCAGTCAAGGTCCCTGCAGCTGGCAGCGTTGCTACTCATTGCAGTTTCCCGGCTTCGTTTGGCTTCCGTAAAAGATTCGCAACTACTAGGAAGCCGCTGCGAGGCGTGTCGCACACATTGGTAGTCCATGCAGCGCTGATCTTTGGTGATAATCCGGTCGATGCGGTTCGTTCTCCACACTGACTTAGCATTTCGCCTCGACCGGACAGAAGCCCGAGCCACTCTCGAGCCTGGCCCCTCCAGGTGGTGTCCAGCATCCGGCTTCCACTTAACGTCCGGGGCCTTTGGGCACCGAGGTTTCTGGAGTGCACCTACAGGCTCAAAGGTGGAAAAAAGATCCGGAGATTTCGAGATGGGTGAAGAGTAGCCACACGCCGCTTACTGACTCCCGAAGCAGATCTGCAGCTACTCGTTGTGCTGCTGTCTGCACACGGTTGCTGCAGCAAGCTCTGCAGGAAGACGCACTCTAGCTTAAGTGGATCACCGTTCTGCGTCCTCCTGAGGCCCAGAACATTGCCAGCGAGTTTCGCCGCCATGTCGACTGTAGAAGCGGGATTCCAGAAGGGAGCGGCAGTTGTGGGAAGTGTCAAACTTCGAAGGCATGTCTCTCAGCTACAGGTAGCAGCAGGCATAGTATGATCATGTATCCCGCCCAGCGCCAACTGATCATTTGCCAGGTTCTTACGGAAATTCCACGGGCAGCAGCTTCTCGGACCGCAGTTTCTAAACCAACCAATGCGCTGTTGGGTCGAAGAAGACTAAAGCTTCACCAGTCGGTGATGAAGGCAGTGATGGAGATATTGATATCCATACATGGAGATGGTGAAGTGGGAGGATGCGTGTACAGTCAGACGTCGAATTTGCGGGAAGATGTTGTTCTCTGCTCTTGGGACCTGACATCTTCGATCAAAGTTTGTACGGGTGGGGCTCAACTTCTGAAATTGCTCATCGCTCTCTGCCACGTAGGCCACGCCGAAGTTCTTGAGGTCTCCAGAGGTCTCCTTGACAGGACGGACAGCCAAGGCAAGTGCTGATCGAGAGCCTCGCCAGTGGCGGAGAGGGCCCTTATGACACCATCGCGAGGCCGGCCAATTGCACCGCTATGTCAGCGTTCAGGGCAGCGCAGGGACAACTTGCAGGAGCGATTTTATTTATTTATTATTTTTGGTGGTTCCTCTTTCAATCAATCAGCTCAGGGAGTCGGGTCTGGGGGGAGTGCGCGTCGAGTGCGAGGTGGCTGCACGAGCCACTTCTCGGCCTGTCGGTGCCCAAAAGAAGGGATTGGCCGAACGGACTCCGAGACTTGCCTCGCGTCTCGTGCTTCTCGTGCCGAATGCTCGTTGCTTTCACCCTAACTGCCGTCGTCCATCAGTCGCCGCGCTCGGATGGTCCGCACACTTCTCCGCACCTTGAATTCAAGAGCATGAGCCTGGAGTATTTCGACTTGACAGACTCAGGCCCAACGAGCACGAGTTCCGCTGCCTGGTGTCCTTCATGATCGGTCTGCCGGGCGCTGCTTACTGGAAGAACAGGGGTGATGTCGCAGAGACGGACGGAGTGCTTTGACGCAGTGCCAGGGCAGTGCATCAAGCCGCCCCTGGCGGCGCCTCCCTCCCTGGACCTGGAGACCGCCATGGCGCCAAGGGGCAAGGCTCGGTTCGGTCAGCTGCGTCGCAGAGTCATGACTCATAGCTCATAACATCTGCTTCTTCACGGCTCCTGGGGTCTTCAGTGAAGAGGTGGGTTTTCTGTGTCGGTGTAGACCGAGCCTTCTCAGGAGCTGGTGTCCCAGAATGCAGTCACTCTCCCGCCGCTGGACTCGAAGGCTGGGTCCACAATGAAAGCTGAGAGGGTCGCTGGGGTGCAGGGTCAGAGCCCTGCGGGGACGACAGGAGTATGGAGTGTCAAGCTGCAAGAAGCCTTTGTAACCTCATAGAGGCTTCGGGCTGCAGCTCTGGCTTCAGCGAGGAAGCGGCAGAAAGGCAAACAGTGACACGAATGGCAACAATATGACAACAAGATGACAAGGAAATGGTTGGAGCAGGCGGTTCATGTCTCGGCACCCCGAGCATTCTCGGACTCGGTACGCTCCGGGCATGTCCGCGTGTCTCTCATCGGGCAAGCTCTGTAGCGGTCGGACACGCTTGAAATGTAGAAGGTCACCCCGATCATTTCGCAATTGCATTGGGTCGAAGTTCCTTTGGGGGCCTCCTCTGCGAAGATTACGACATGAAGATGACATTCTGCATCGTCAAAAGATGAAGAGGCGATGGATGAGGGCAGCATCCCGAACGGGGTGATGGCTGGCAAGCTTCCAGTGTGAAGGAGCATGCATTCTGAATCCCTGAGCACGAGGACAGAAATTCTTGAAGCCTACAAGGAATGTTTCGGCCGGTCACAAAGGGAAATTATGCCGGCCAAACCGCAAGGTCCTCAGGTGCAAACCTTGAACATCGGAATTTCGCAGATGGCGCGATCAGTACAGGATCAGACACGAGCCGGTGCACCGCACGGAGGGAGACACCTGTGTCCAAGTAACTAAGCGAGGCATGGTTTGACCGAAGCAAGGTGCAGGATGTGCATCGTGATCGAGGTCTAGTCTCAGTTTCAGCTGCAGCTTTGAAGGCTGCAGATTGCATTCATGCATATCTCAGCTGCTTTCCGCTTCAGGCTGGTCGCACCAACGAGGCCAGCCAGATTTGTGCCTGTGTCTTCCTCCTGGAGTCAGGTCTGCATTCGGAAACATGGGGTCATATTCAATTCCGACAAATTCCTTAACGCAGAGCAAGGAGAAGACTTAGTTGCCCGACATCGGTCAGGAGCCTCCTGCCCAATCCGACGGTGGAGCTCTGGGTGCTCCGCCGGTGGCGGAGTGTGGCCCCCCACCTGCAGCTCTCATAGACAAGCCAGGGCCTCGCTTTGGACCAGAGGCTCTAGAGGAATTGGGTTTGCTTAGGGTGACATGGATCTCCGATACACCCGTATGACTCAAGATTCTATGCCGTGTATGGAGGAGCAGGTGGCCGACAACAGAGAGAGACACCTGGTTCCAGCAACTGAAAGCGGGAGATTGAGAAGAGCTGGAACTGACACACACTTGGAAGTGGTTCACCACCGTGACGAAGGCAATCAGTTCTGGAAGCATACAAGTCAGGTAAGAGGCAACTCCATCATGCCTGATCCTGAACTCGGCCTCAGTGCACACAGCTCCCATTGTGAGCCGGAGCTCAGCGCCTTGAAGCAAAGCCGTGCATACCACGAGCTCTTGCCAAGGTTAGCGCAAGAGGTGCTCAAGGAGGAGAGACGGGTGGTGTGAATAGGATGCGGGTGAGTCAGATAAAGGATCATTGATGGGCATTTAGCTGCTGTTCAAAGCAGCGACATTTGTTCGAAGCAGTTCACCGATGAGCCAATCAAGAGATCTTCAGCTGCTCGCCCTCTGCAACAGGAGCGTTTCCAGCTCAATCCCAAAGAGACTCAGGAATTACCAAGTTAATGTGCAGAAGCATTGGCCCGTAATCGTGACTACACGTCTGTGCATCATTGAGAAAGCTTGTATCATTGAGCTGAGTGTCGAAGTCCACCGAAAAGCCTTGCATTTTTGGAGCTGCAAGCAGCTTGGACACTCTCAGGACCAGCGGCTGCAAGATCTCACGGGGCCCAAGAAGGAAGGGCCCATCTTCAGCACGATGCGTGCTCGTCACGCTTGGTTGGCGGCATCGACCGTTTTGGCCACCCCTCTTAACTGCCCAAGCTGATTCTGGGGGCAACTAGATGTCTGGTTCTGCCTGTTTCTGCTAAAGATCCGCTGATGCGATTGCGAGGCACTGGAGCTTTGAGCCGCTGCGTTTGCCTCCCGCCAGGTTGTGTCATCTGCTCTATGCCTTGGCTGTGATGGTACCCGCGCACCCCAAGGACTTCTTTCGCTCATGTGTTCCCTCCTTCCCACGCCTGACAATCACAAGTGGCGCCTGATCCCCACGAACCGTTTTCCGGAACTCGGAGCAATGCTGGCAAGGAGGCGGCTCAGTCGGTCACCGTCCGAGGTGCCGCTTTCGCGCAGTTGATCAAGGCGAGGTCTTGTTGTTCTGACATCAGGAGCCGCGTCTCAGACCTGCATAGACCTGCCATGCTACGCTGCACTGTGGGGAACTTCTGTAATCGAAGCCATTCCGGACCCCGGACTCCCCTGTCTGCCCGTTCTTTGCAGCTCGTGCAGGTGCAGCATATCGTCGCCCAGCAGATACAGCCGAAGGCATCCGGGCCTCAAAGGGGCTGGCACAAAAGTAAACGACAGCAGGCTTAACTGTTCAGAATGGAGCTCTCTAGCTTGGCATGACTGCCTACTGGAAGAGAAGCCAACCACTTTATCAGGTGGGGATGAGTTGGGCAGTGGACCGTATGCATGGTGAGCTAGCATTCCCAAAGTCCACCCTCAACCCATTGAGTCCTCTTGACGACATCTTTCAATCCTTTTCCAGTGGTTGAAGGCTCTCTACGACCCAGCGGATGCGGGTCGAGCAAAGCCGACGCTCTCAGAGAAATCCCCCCCCCCACCCAGTCCTGGGCAGCAGGCAGAGCTCTTACTGTGCTCGCAGCAAAGCCGACACGCGACAGCCTACAAGACTTGGAAGCTAAAACCTGGAGTCTTGGCCTGAGGCTCTTGCTCTACGTCAGGGCCACTGCCAGCGTGCGCTCTGCCGGGCTCCCGGCCTTTGCCAGTGCCTACAGTGCCTACCATAGGCCCCTAAGTAGTTCCTTTTTATGGTTTTATATTTAGAATCCTACAAGGTAATCCCGACAAGGGGCAACTTAGGGGCCCATGGGTAGAGCCTACAGGCTTCAGGGGCCTAGCACCTCATAGCGTGTGGTCTGGGAGTTTGGCCCTGGCCCAGGCCCTGCAGTCCATCATGGCCTCCTGGTTTGCCGCAGACTTCGGCGCACGCTTCGTGATCTCGGAGGCGCCCAGAGCCTCCCCTCCTTCAGATTGAAACTCCGAGCTTTGTCTCCCATTGTCCCAGTCCTCGAGTCTGAAGGGTTCTTTTAACTATGTGCCAGCCACGAGCCCGAAGGTAGAAGGAGCTGGCCTTGAGCCATTTGGGTTTTCTGCTTTTGTGAAAATCGCTCGGCAGGAAGGCGGGCAGGACTTCCTCCGGCATCTCGGCCGAAACGTGAGTGTCGGCCTGTGTGTGGATGCTTCACGACGACTTCGCATCCTGCGTCTTTGAATCCCTGAATCCCTGGCAGCGCCTTCCTGCTCTTTCGCTCCAGAGGCCTGTAACTGGAATTGTATCTGCCCGCCCGTGTCTCCTTGAGATTTGTTTGCTGGACGGTTTTCTTGGAAGGTTGTAGATTCGCGCGTGTGTTCATTCATGAGCAAAGCGTGCAACCAGAGCCAATGAACCAGTGGTGCCTCTTGTAAACAACAGGGGAGGGAGGACGCAAGGGGTTACACGGTTACAGTCCAAGCAAAGTGCCCGCTCGTTCCAGACCTGGTTTAGCCACCCTTCAGCAGTATCATTTCAGATATATCCTGCGTAGCGAAAGACTGAATCTCGGAAAGGCCCGAAACCACCCGCATAGGCAGGGCAGACATACGTATGACGTATGCTATTCTTAGAGCAGGCGGGACTTTGTATCAGTTTTTAGACATTTCTTGGAGGGGCAGCCTGGTCGTTTTCAATGCAGCTTCTCTTTGACTGCTCATTCAGATGCACTTGCGCAGAGCTGAAATAAGGTACTGCTGCAAGCACATCACCCAGGCTTGGATGATAGAGCTTCAGAGGATTTGGTTAGATTTGAGTCTTCCTTTCCTTCAATGTAGCTCGACGCCTAGCTATTCCAGTGGGAGTTGTGTTGAGGTAGGTCTTGTGGCCCACGAGGCGTCTTTCGTCTGGCAAACTGGAGCTTCAAGCTGCGAAGGCGTACAACCACAAGACCGCGATGACGAGAGTTTTGGGTTCCCCTTGGGAGAGGATCATGCTGTCCCAAGGCCGAGCCGTTGGTTTTGTTCGGATGTACTGATGTTGCAAGCCTGGACTTCAGTCCTTTCTGTATTCAGCGGGATACATGTCTCAAGCCCAATTTCAACAACCTCAAGCCTCAAGTCGCGATTTGAGAAGGTGTGCAGTCGCAAGAGGGTCAACCTGCGGATGCAGAAAGACATGAAAGACACAGAGCAAAGAAGAATCAGCGTGCGGCTGGGGGCAGGATGTTCACAAAAGGCACTGCAGCCCACAACGTCTTTCGAACACGTACGTGCGTGCTGCTCTAGCGTCCGTCTAGTCGTTCCTGCAACGCCGGGGGCTCAGCTAGAACCTGGAAGAAGAAGGATCAGAAGAGGAAGAGAGAAGCATAAAGTAAGGTTTCTGCCTGTGACCTAGAAAAAGAAGACAGGAGAGAAAGCACCACTAAAGACGAAACAAGCAAACATCAAGTACACGAGCAAGAGCACATGCAGAAATCCCGAAGTCACATCTGCAGAAGGTCCCACATCGACAATTGCCGAGCTACTTATCGTGGTTTGTTCGTCGGATGCCCCGTCCCTACAGCGCGGTTTCATGAATTGGGCAATCGGGAATGTCAAGAAGTTCCACAGGAAAGCTGCGTGCCCTTTAATTAGGGATCTCTGCTGCCTCTCACTGAGCAATACTGTACAAGCATCCCTAGCCGGACATGTCCGACGCAGGTCGACATGTGGTACAGACTCAGTTAGCCTGCTCGTGAAACGTGGGATCAGTCCATATGAAGCGCGCGGCTCAAGTCGTCATCACAGTTCTCCCGCTTCGGCGCCGCTGTGCAGAGCTTGTGCTTGTGCAGCCATGTCCAGCTTCGTGACGTCGCCTAGCTCAAAGCCGATTGGCTTTCGGTTCTGTTACTTTGGCCATGCTGGGATGAACCAGCCCGCGTGCTGAACCCGCCCTTCCTGCGCGCTCCTGCATAGATCATGAAACGAGGCAGGCGCGCCGAAGAATCCTCCGAAGGATATGAAGGTGATAGTGAAACCAATGCCAACAAACTGAGACTTTTCAGATCAAGGTATGCGTGTCCGGCGCCTTGGCTGCAGGAGGTGCCGGGTCCAACGGACTCAGTACCTACCGACTTCTCGGTACCATTACCTGCGACTCGGCTTCAAAAGGAATGCTTCCATCCACAAAATCGTTACGAAGAGGCCCAAGGGCGCTTGAGACATGGAGGCGGTATTCGAGGTTGCTGAGGCCGTTCTGCCGGGGGATCAGCGTCTGAACCTGGTCGTTCTTGCCTTCAGGTGAACTTGCTTAGCCCCCCGTCCGCGCCCCCTTCGGGCAGCATTGGGCATCCGGAGCTTTGCAGCCGACCCTGTGTTCGCCTCATGCGCTCCGGGTGACTCGAATCTCCAGTGTGAAGGGTCTTCTGTGGCATTTCGGAGTGAGTCTGTGGATTCGTAAAATTCCAAAGGATGCTTCCAGATTTGCGAATGGACGAGATTGCTGTATGTGGCTGTTACAGATTCTGGGACTTGCATGTGCGCTGGCGACGACACTCCGCCAGTCTGCTCGAATCCACGAATGGCCAAGGTACTGCGAGCAGGGAAACGCCTGTCGCTTTTGCCATCTCCCTCATGAAGGTCCCGCCGCGAAGCCCGACCAGGCGTGCGGTTGTGATGGCTTATCCACTGAAAACGGGTTTCGAAGAGTCGCATGCCGAAGGTGAAGCGCCGGCTCATGCAGGCGATGTTCCTTGGTGGCATAAGGCAGTCAGACGAGTGAAGTTCATGGCATACCCGGAACATCCCGAACCTCCCCGTGAGAAATGAGGTCTGATGGTGAGCTGATGGCGACTCTTCTGCCGCACATCCGCACCCGGGCCCTCGAGGTCACTCCCGCCCCTGCCTGCGTCCGTGCAACTGCAAACGAAGCCGAAGCGCGAACCACTGGCCGAATGCACATGCACGCGTAAGATGTCCTATCAGATCATTCAATTCTGAACAGCAAATGCTCATAAGCCGCTCCGAAGTGGTAGTGACTGCTAGTCGCAATGAAATCTAGAAAAAGCAGAAGCGGGCCCCGTAGCATCTGCAGGCCGGGCTCACACCCAAAGTGTTTGCGCTGCTGGCAGAACTGGAGGAGACCTTGCGGGTTTGGGGTCGTGTTTTAACGGACGATTGTCGGCTTGGCACTTTCTAGCAGCTTGTGCACAGAGGTCGTGGTGTTGGGCGGCTTGTGGCATTTTTATGGGTAGCACTTTACTACGTTACTACAACTGGCGTGGTCGGAAGGGTGCACCGTCAACCAAAGCTTGCAAACCTACGGCCTAGTTTTCTTTGCCTGGTTTCGTATCTGAGCCGGCAAGCAGCGAATTAAGCATTGAGTTTGGGCCTGCCCTGGGCGGCATTCAGAGCCAAGGCGGAACTCCGTGAGGAGCTTGCACTTCGGCCGGTGGTGGAGCCTGTCCAGGCGTGTGCGTCGCACAAAAAAACAGTTGCTGACACCTGACTGTCGCTGCTCCGCTCTTTCCAGGTGTCTGCGAGGCAGGAAGGGAGCCTCAACAGGGCTCCTTGGCTGAGAACCTGACGCGACGCTGCATTGCAGGGCAAGTAGCCCGAACCAGTGGCCGGGGGCAACAAGTTTTTTTTTTTTCATGTGCGTCTGCAGCATGTGCTCTTTGAGAAGCGCAGGTGCTGGCCCGAATGTCTCTGGTCGCACTTGCCGCCGGACTGCATGGGAGTAGTGTGTCAGAAAGCTCGCGCTTCGCTCGGGATCGGAGCAGGTGGTGCGAGGACCTGCTAGGATGAGTGCCTTGCAGTACGTAGTTAAGGCCGGGAGTTGCCCTGGGCTTCCCCTCATGGACTCCGTCATCCCATGAAGCCGTTCCTCCACAAACCTGAAGGTCAAACGGTTTCCGACACGCTCTCCAAAGCGGATCCAGGACTGATCCCAAACCCCAGAAAAGGCTTTGAAGTCCACCCCCCGGACCTGTTGGATTGGACATTCGCAGGGGGTTCAGCCGGAGGAAGTTGGGCTGATACTTCTGGAAGGGCCATCGGTAAAAGGGGACCCCCCCGTCCCCGTTTCTGGGTTTGTCCAGCCCTGAGACTCAAGATTCCGGCAGGAATCACTTGATGCACTTCGCCGGGCACCGTCTGTGTCTGTGGAATGGGGCCCATGCATGCGGCTCTGAGAATGCGTTGGTTCCAATTGGCCCTTCTTAGGCTTGAAAGGGTAAGAATAATTGCAGCTGGAACCCGGGAACTTTGCAGAGGGCAGGCTTCTAAGACATAAGTGACATAAGTTATTGGAGCAGAGCGGGTACATGGCTGAGAAGCCAGAGTTTCGCGATGCCCGCCCTGCACGGTACTTGGGCAGCCTTCATCGAGTTGGTTCGCGTGCAGGGTTTCAGCTCAACACAGCACGGCTAGGACCACTAGCATGACCGGGGCATCGCTCGCATCCCTCCACGCTCAAATGCACAGATCTGCAGTACTGGTTCAGCTGGCTATGAGATTCGTTGTACGGGACCAATGCTGCCGCTCCGTGGGCCCCCATGTTGTAAAGGGGTCGGCCTCTGACCCGCATCTTCGGCAATTGCCGGGCATCTCGACTCTTGGGGAAGCTTCAGAAGACGTCCCCTGGGTCATGCGATGCGAGGAATCGGCGGGAATGCTGCTGAAGCTGTGAAGTTGGCCGACGGGCCGACGGCAGACAAGAACTGACGAGGAATGATACATCGATGCACTAACCGTGTCCAACCTCAGAAGTGCGACATGAAGGGGCATTTTCATATAGTAATATAGCTGCACACCACACTAGTAAACGCGAACAGCTTGGTCGTATGTGGTTCCGAGTTGTTTTCCAGGCCATAATAAGCGCCAGAGTAAGTGTCCAACATCCTATCGCTGCGCCGGGTGAAAAGTTGCAGCGCTTTGATCCAACGCAGTGTTTTGCAATCCTGACTTAGGGATGTAACACAGTGTTCGAGTCAGCGAGTGTCTGCTTGAGGCAGCGGGGTGACTGGCTGCCCCCGCCGCCCCCCCCTCCCCCCCCTCCCCCAAAGGCCCCCGACGGTGAGCCGGGGCACAGACACTCCAAGAAGCCCGAAGTTTTCAGGAGATGCTGCACAGCTTTTAGGGGTGGACTCAGGATGATCGTTGTGGTAGGAGTTCACAGCTTTCTGCAGGGACCATGTGGCCTTTCGAAAACCCTGCCGATTGTCCGCTCTGTAGCAGGAATTAGCCGCCGCTCTTCAGTAAAAAGGTTTTGTTACACAACACCAAGTCAAACCTGACGCTCATTCTGTGTAGGTTTTTTTTCGAGACAAGTGCGCTGTACACAACAATGTCCCTGGCTTACTCCTTGAACCTTCGCCACTGCGGCCTGCGAGAGTCTGCCGGCTCAACGTGTGACTACCTTTGCGGACCAGTGTCAATGTGTTTCTGACCAGTGTTCACTCAGAGTGGGGGCTTGCCCTGATGCCAAATGTCCTCGGGACCGAACAGTAGCTGCAGTGTTCGTGTCGAGACTGGAGTGAAGAGTGTTACCAGGACGGGCACTTGGCTTCATGTGCCTAGTGTCGAACCAAGCCCCCACAGTATTTACCAGCCCAGTGTCGCACAGCTGTCCAAACGCAGTCCTGTGCCAACCCGTTTCGGATCGACGTGCGTTTTGCGTGTCTCAGGTATGGAACTAACTCCCCTGTATTCAAAGCTCACAAGGGGGAGTCCAGGATCGGCCCCGGTTGTGGGCTTTGGTTCTTTACATCTGCAGGTCTTGTCATGTTCTCTGGAATGCCACTTGGGTTCCCGGCCTCATATAGTGTGCTCTAGCGTATGATGCCGGTGTGAGACGCGATATCCAACGGCTGTCAGATGCGAGACTTCGTGGCGTGGCGGAAGTTTTGAACTGCGGCTGTGATTCGCGGCGATACGCGAGGATTGAGTCTGAGGGCTTGATGGAGGGTCTAGACCTTACTGCAAGCTTTATGTTCTTGCTGGGTCATCTGATTTCAAAGTTTAACTAGGTCACAGGACCTTTCACTTTTGAATGCCGCCCAATGAGAGCTCAGGCCCTCGTTCAGCTGCACGACGGACTTGTGCATGAGTCCATGTGTCGCATGGTCCTCGTTGAGATCATCACCGCACGCCGCTTCGTTTTGGAATGCTCTGAGTCCAGGTACACGATTGCACGATTGGCGTATCAACTTTAGCAAGCCTGGTGGAAGCTGTAATCTGATAGTTTTGCAAGACAAGCGAACTCGTTGCTAGGCCTTTCAGATTGTGGTTGCAAGCAAGCCTTTGTGCTTCAGATTGCATTGAGCGGACATGCAATTCCTTTCCGTGCTGTTCCGAAGTTGTTCGATTGAAATTGAAAGCACTCGGTTTGGCCACTGTCCACAGACATCTCAAAGTGTCAAGGCCCGAGCGGCAACATTGTCGTCTCTGGTCAGGCTCAGTGTGAAATTTCAGAATCCCGAGACTCATGTGAACCTGGGCCTTGTTTTACACAGGGAGCAAAGGCCGCCCACTCGGTGTCCCGAGACTAGCCAGAGGCCTCGGCCCCTCTTGTTCAAAGCCCCCGAGGACCCGAGGAATTCGGGGAAGGTCCAGCGCTGCAGGTTCTGCCAGCAGCACTTCTTTCGCGACAGTACTGGCAACAACATCGCAGCCCTCCGTCTTTTGCACAGTTAAGATTAGTGCAGCATGCGCCGAGACAACGAACGTCTGGTTTTGGCACGTTAGAGGGCGATGTGATAAGTCTGGTGCAAAGCAGATCTGGACCTTCCAATTCGAGCGCCAAGTCTTATCCGGCTGAGTCACAAAGGTGGGAGCTCGTGCAGGAACGTTTTCCAATATTTTACTGCAGTGTCCTTAGGTGAAGGTTGAAGCTCGGAGCAAGAAGCTGCAAAGCTGCCGCAAGGTTGAGAGATCGACAGTTTGAAGCTGACGGAAGATCTTCCCAAGCGACATGCACCGGACAGAAAGTGGGCCTCCTGCGAACCTGTGTTCAGGAACTCCTGGCCTGCCGAAAAGACTCAAAATTATTAACGACTATATACGATACTTCTTAGAGGCAAGGCCTGACTCATGCGACGAGCATGGGCACTGACCGCTGTTGCTCGCCTCGCTTTGGCAGGGGCCCCCAAGCAGATGACTTTCAACCTTGGGCTCTGATGTGATTGCAGACTGTGAAGGCTTTGGATTCCGGGTTGCCAGAGTGTTCCGTTTCTGTGACAAGTGCAGAGCTGCGAGGGAGAGGATCTGCTGATGGGCCCCAGCGTTTCAAAATCTCTGTGCCAATCACCAGGCCGAGAGTCCACGGTCCAAGAGCCACGAACTGTACAACGCTCTGTGCTTTCTGAAGCTTGATAGCTTGATGCGAACGGCTGTGCCCTTTCGTGCCAGGAGATGTTTCACTCTAGTCAGCTCCGGGGGCTCTGAATCCGAAGGTCCCTTCTAGGTGACGGTCGAGTCGTCGAGATTATCGCAGTCTTGGGGGGCGCCACGGAGCGTCGGTGTTGGGGTTTCGTTTCGGGCACCCAGAGCAGCCTCTCACATTTGGTGGCAATGGAAGTGGGGGCGAACCCTAAAGTGAGCAATCTTGGGAGGACTCGGCTGCGGGCATCGTGTCCAGCATTGGATTGCTCTCCCTCCCCTTGCCACACTCCGAGAGCCTTGATCTTTGCCTCAAGCGCCCAAGCAAAACATATCGGACAGCAACACAGCAGTTTTGTTTCGTCGTAGGCAAGGGCTACCGAGGCCACGTTGACGCAACTGGGCCAACAGTTCGTCCGCACATCTCACCAGCTTTGCACCAGCTATGGGGCTCGGGTTCAGGAGAGACGGGGTCTTTTGTGTGGGACAGCTGGTGCGTGCCTCATCTTCAATCAGTCTCACTCCTCGTCCTGAGCAGTGTCCCCGACAGCATTGTCTGCTCCGGTGGCATAGCTGGATCTGGACGACTGGAGTGGGCAGAAATGCGACAACGACACGTGCCCATTTTCATCGTCGTGATGCGCCGCTCAAAAAGGATTTGATTTCAGTCCTCTCGTCGTTTACACGTTGTCTCCTCGGGGCTCTGTCCGATAGCGGCACTTTATATATCATGCGTTGGCTTTGGCGCATGAGCCGCATGACCAGATTTTGGGGTTGCAAGCGCTGCCTCGAGCCCGACTTCTGAAACCCAGCGCTCTC